GCCATGTCAGAGTCAGCTCAGCTTCCTGACCACTTTGGTGGTCCGGTCCAGGCCCTGGGCCATAGTCATTATCCCATTCATAGTCCTGGAAACTGAGGGCTTGGGAGGTGAAGAGGCTTTCCTGAGGTCATCCAGCAGGTAGGTGGCAGAGCCAGGGCTCCAAGTCTTCTGGCTCCAATCCCCACACTTTCACTCACACTGTAGTTGCCTGTCATGTGGCAGAGTTGGCAGGGCCCCCAAGCCTGGGTGAGCCACTGACAACAGGCCAGTTGTGCCCAATGGGTGTGAAGGAAGTAGAGTGGTGGGTGGTAGGTGTAGCAGAGGGAGGTAGCCACGGTCTCTTCATGAGCCCTTTTTGAGAATGTTGACCCCAAAGGAGAAGTCAGGCAGAGAGAGTCATTGCCTGAGCCCCTGCCTCTTACCCCCAGTTCTGCTATGTTCCCATCTTGACTCATTAGCTGCCAGGCACCAGCACATCTGGCCCGAGTGAAAGAAACTGACAGTATGGCAGCCAGGATGGACCTATGCATTAACCCTTCTCCTGCCACTTCCATTGTGTGACCTTAGGCAAATGATGCAACCTCTTTCAGCGTCTCTTCCTTCCTCTCTAAAGGGGGCTAAAACCTCCCTGGCAACCGCATTGTTCTGGCAAATCAGTAATCTGGAAAAGCTCTTAGTTTAGGACCTGGGCCATAGTAAGTGCTTGGTGAACATGAGCTATTACCACCATCACTTGATGAATGTGTCTTTTTCCAGGTACAAAATGAGGGTAATAAGACATGCTTCATCAGGTTATCACATGGGTTAAATGAAATATGCCTTCATTCTTTCACTCCCTTCTTCAGCTGGTGTTTACCAAGCAGCTTCTGGCTGCTCTGGTCCAGACACTGAGGATCTCTCTCATGGAGGAGGACAGCTGCCCTCGCTCAGGGTTTTGGGTCTGGTGGGAGTCAGACAGTAGTACACACGTGACACAAACAAGCATCAGGTGTGGTTGTGGTAAATGATAACTACAGAGGGGTTTAAGCGTCTGGCTCAGTACCAGCGGGAGGTGGTTATTCTCATGACTTCGCAATGCTGTGGATATATAAATACTTCCTGTCATGAACTAACACAACACAGAAAAGCTTTCCCTGGACTCGTGCAGTGTTCACAGTGGACGATTCGTTGCTTCTGCAGCATTGTTTGTTGTGGGAGTACAAGGCTGTCCATATGGAGGTTCTATCCAGGTGTCACTGAGGTTCAGGTCTCCCCAGGTTGCTGGGTCCAGGATGCCTCCTTTGAGAAGTCACCCATCCTCAGCATGCTGTGGCCTTGACTTACTTCTAGGGCCTAAGCTGCAGGCAGACCCTGGGGGTCTGTGTGCTTTGTGGATACAGTAGAACTGACTCTCTTATATGGTAACTGACCCATTTCCGCAGGGTGCATGGAAGGTCTGGTGGCCCTGCAGAAATCGTGTGCCAGTCCCTTCTAAGGTGCCCTCCTCTGGTCTTGGTTTGTAGAATACTACTCAGAATCCTCCAGGACCACAGAGGAAGCACAGAGGCCACACTGTCCTTGCAGGGCAGCCTATGGGAGTCCCCAAGTGGAGGTGCTGTCTGAGAAAGGTCCATTCCTCGTAGGTTTCTGAGGGTGAGTGGGAGGAACACAGGAGCTGCAGCCAGACAGAGCTGGGGCAAATCCCAGCACCCTTGCAATAAGGCGTGGGCTGATCCTTAGTCTCTCTGAGCTATAGTCTCCTCCTCCTCCTGGAGGTGATGCCATGAAGAGGGAAAAGTTCTGCCTTGCAGTGGACCCTAGCAAGAAGCAGTTCCCTTCACCCTCATCCGCTCTGCAGTTTCTTTGCTCCTACATGAGTTTTTGTCTAGTCTCTCTGAGTCAGGTTAGCTGGAATCTGCGCACTGCGTCTGGATCCATGTTGTCTCATGGTCTGCATCCTTCCACCCCTGCTTAGTGCTGGGGGATGCTTTTTGTTGTGGTTGAAGCCATAATGGGATTTTCGGAATTGCCATTGTGGAATCCTTGGGGAGGTAACTGAGTTACATTTTTAAGAGGGAAGAGGAAAAACAAAGTCAAGAGAAAAAAATGAATCTGTGAATTCAAACTTTCCAAAGTTGGAACTTCTATATAAAGGAAATTATTTCTAATTATTAAAATGTTGAAAACATGGTACCACTAGAAAGAAAGGAAGCAGGGATAGCGCCTATGAGAAGTGCTAGCATATGTTTTTGTGATTTAATGGTTTCCTGTAACAATGTGTAGCTATTTTAAAAGCAGAGGAATGACTCATGGTTCCAGCTCCACTGGTCCACTGTGGTGGCAGGAAGTGTGTGCTCCAGAGGAGGCAGGCTTGGGTTTGACTCCCATCTCCATCGTTTACCAATGGCATGACCTGAAGTGAGTTACAGATCCTCACTGTTTCCTTTTCCTCCTCTATAAAAGATAATAAATTTGTAATTCTTACTGCAATTCTCATCCATCCATGTAAAACTCCTGTATTAAGTATCAGGGTAATTCCTGTGTTTGTAATAATCCTTAGAAGTTTAATATAAACTTTTAAAGCTATAAATTTTCCTCTGATTACCATTTTGGTTAGAACTATACTTTTGATATATAGTGTTCTCACTGTCATTGTCTTTAAACATTTTTTTTTTTTTTTGGTAGTGGTGGTACTGAGGTTAGAACTTAGGACTTCTCACTTGCTAGGCAGGCACTCTACTACTTAAGCCACTCCTCCAGCCCTTTTTATTTTACTTATTTTTGAGATAAGGTATCACTTTGCCTGGACAATGATCCTCCTATTTACACTTCCTGCCATAACGGGGATAACAGGCATGTACCACCATGCCTACCTTTTTCTGTTGAGATGGGGGTCTGGAACCTCAGTCCTTTTCATCTCATCTTCCCTCATAACTGGGATGATAGGCATGTACCACAGTATCCAGCTATTGGCTGAAATGAGATCTCAAGAACTTTTTGCCTAAACTGTCCTCAAACTGCAGTCCTCCAATCTCAGCCTCCCAATTAGCTAGGATTACAGGCATGAGCCACTGTGCCCAGCCTCCAAACATTTTTTATTTTAGATTTTTTTGGGTTTTTTTTTCTTTGACTGTGTGTGTGTGTGTGTGTGTGTGTGTGTGTGTGTTTCCAAATGGTTAGATTTTTTTTTCTATATTTAAATCTTAGATTTATCATACTTGAGTAAAGAATGTGGATAAGGCTGGGCAGAGAAGCTCAAGCCTATAATGCTAGCTATATGGGAGGCAGAGATCTGAAGGGTCAACGTTCAAGATCAGCCCAGGCAAAAAGTTCACAAGACCCCATCTCAACCAATAAAAAGCCAGGCATAAATGTGAGACCCTATCTCAAAAACAGGCAAATCAAAAAGGCCTACAGGTGTAGCTCAAGCAGTAAGTAGAGCACCTGCCTTGCAAGCTTCAGGTGCTAAGTTCAAACTCCAGTACTACCAAAAAGAAAAAATAAGAATGTGGATAATAGGACGTTGACTTTTTAGGGGTTACTGAGCTTTACTTTAATACAGTATAAATCAATTTTTGTAACTATTCCATGGGTATTTGAAAATATATTTTAATTTATATAAAGCCAAGCTTATTAATTTTCTTAATAGATATACTATGTTATATATACAAATGTACACTTGTATATGTATACACACATGTATATGTGTATATTTGTGTATGTATGTATACACATGCCTATATATAAATTTTAGAAGAGGCATGCCAAAGACTTTCTCTATGGTTGTAGCTTTGCTGAATTCACTTTTCATTCCTAGCAGTTTTTTGCTTCATGGGTTTTGAAGTGATGTTTCATGCATAGAAATTTGTAATTGAATCTTCTTCATCAACTGTTTTCATTGATAGCAGTCATTTCTCTTTGCCTTGCTCAATGTTTTCTGCCTTGAATTCTGCTTTACATCAGTTCTCCTGCCCAACTCCACCTATATGGTGGGTATAGTGGCAGGACTCATGGAGGGCTGCTAGAAGGACATGCCACCAATTTTCCCTTCACATGGCCAGGTGTCTAAAGTGCGGCCCTGCAGCCAGTCAGCAGCTGCAGAGCCGGACCCTTTCCTTCCCTGGCAGGCAACTTGTCCTGAGCTTCCCCTAGGTCATCACTGGCCTATCATAGCCATGTTTTTTATAGCACATCTTTTCCTCTTTATTAAGCATCCTCAGGAGAAGTCTCTAGCTAATCTTAGTTCTTTTTACTGAGAAATGTCCCATTTTTAATTTCTTTTTCTGTCCCTTGATTAATTTATGATTGCATGAGTGTTTATGTGTACACACGCACATGCACGTGTAGACAGATTGACAAGTAGATAGCTAAGTGAATGACTATACAGCGAAATTTAATCCAATGGTGTTCTCCTAAATATGGTTCCTTTTTAAAAAAAAAGATTATTAGAATAATAAAGTAAGTTCATTGTAATATTTACAACATATATATAATGTACATTGATCAAATTTATCCCACGTATATTATTCTTTCTTAATGACTCTCCCTTCTTCCTCCTCCTTTTGAAGTTGTTAGTGGGTTTCATTATGTTATTTTCATACACATATGTAATGCTCTTCTATACTAGTCACATCCCCTCTTCTTACTTGCTTGTCCCCCCTACAAGCTGTTCCTCTTTTACAATCATGGGCACAAACCTTAGACCTACTAAACTACATTGTTTGGTGAAAAACCTAAGTATTCATCTCTTTCATGTCCTACTATTTTCTGTTGGGTACAGGTAAAAAGCCTTGTTCTGGAGACTGTGTGAAGAAGCAATGCTGAAGTCTGCCAGCATTCATTTTGCTTGTTGCTTGGATGCTTGATTTGTAGATGAGTGGTTTGTGTGAAAAATAAGTATTTAGATTAGAATTCCACAAGTCACCCTTTTTACCTTCTCTAAGAGCAGGCCTGTTTTGGTATTCTTCTGTCCTGATTAGTGATGAGTTCCTACCATAAGTAAATGTCTTCTTTAATTGTAGGGATATATCTTCTGGATTTAATCTACATTGATTCTGCATATCCTGCCTCAGGCAGCATCATGGAAAACGAACAAAGATCCAATCAAATGAACAATATTCTCCGAATAATTGCTGATTTACAAGTTTCCTGCAGCTACGGTTAGTACCCTTGGTTGTTGGAATTGTGAAATCTGTGTCATTGCACCTCATCCATGAGAAAGCTCCAGAAACCAGGCAGTCCTCACAAAGCCCTTCATTTTAATATCTTGAGCTTCAAACATGTGCTAATCCATAGGTTTGGTCTTCAAATACTCTGCAAGCTAGATATGACTGTTTCTGTCAGTCATATCTAGGAGAGCAAGGCTGAAAACAGTCTAATCACTAAAATCACACATCCAGTGAGTGGCAGAGCTCAGATTTGTCTGATTCCTGGGTCTCTCATTCATGAAGAGCTTAGTGGGCAGCTCTCCTCCAAGAAGATTCAGAAACCAGGCTCCTTCCATCTGTGGGCATCTCTTCCAGCCTCAGAGGCCTCTACTGGACTCTATATTGAGCTGGCAAGGCAAGAAGAAAGAGAAATGTATGAGGGTGGGCCAGACTTGCAAGAGGCACACATCACTGCTGCCATAGGAAGCTAGGCAGTATAATCTAGCTGTGGGCCCCCCCCAAAAAAAGGGGGAAGTGATTTGGTAAACCACTGACCAGGCTCTGCTTCACATGGCCAGATCCAGGGGTGTTACTGTGACAGTAAGTATCGGGGATGGATGGAGAAGGCTGTTGGAGACAAGTTCCAGAACTGAGAAGTCAGAATGCTAGATGGGTCATCCACAGACCCATCCAAGAAGATGATAGACTTGGGGATGTGAAGCCCAACTGTGAGCTGGGTGCCCCAGTCCTTCATGAGTGGGCACAAGTGACCAGGAAGGAGTCAGCAACAAAGGGGAGAATGGTTGGCAGAGCTGTGAGAACTTACCTCTTGGGAACAGGGTTTTCACAAGAGGGTGGAGGGGTAGAAGTTCGAGTGCACCCAAGAGGGGCAGCCCTATCTGCCCTACACAGGGTGTGAAAGTACCATCAGGCTGCACTTGGGAGGACCACAGGGGAGCCAGGGAGGCTTCACAAGCATCCCAGGGATGGGTAATGTGTGTCATCCAGGTCAGCTTTCCTCTGACAGGTACCTGTGCTCCCTGTGTGGGCCTCACCTGTCCTGGAGCGTTCATTCACAAATGTGTCAGCACTAGCTGTCCCAGTGTCAAGCAGAGCTGTCACAGACACAGACTCAGGCTCAAGTCTGAGTGCTGCCTCTTGAAACAATCACCTTCTCTTCTCCAAGGCTCACTCAGGTGTAAAAACAGGGCCACCAGAGCCAGCCATGTATGTATGCAGGGTCCTTTGCTCAGTCTCATGATTCCCAGAGCTCAGGGAATGGTGCTCATCCCTCTGTTGTCCTCACCCACCCAACAGCCATCAGGTTACAAAGCAGATGTCATTGTCCTCTTTTAGAGTGAGGACACTGAGGCTTTAGAGAAAACAACCTTCAGAGTCTCACAGCCTAAGGGCAGATCCTTCAAGGGCCTCACTGTGCCTGGAAAGTGAGCCTCCCACTCCCTCTGTTTTCTCTTCACAGTCCTCTCCTCTCCCTGCACCTCTCCATTTAACATGTCTGTCCCACCCCAAGGCCTCTCAGGAGGAGTGCAGTGATCATGAAGGTCTGGGGAGAGTGCCTGATATCAGTCACTCCAGGAAAGAGAGGGTAGCACAGAGTGGCACAAGCCTGAGATGATCTGAGGTCAAAACCTGGCTCTACCACTTCTCAGCAATGTGACCTTTGCAGGTTGTCTCCATTTCTTCCCCTGAACAGTGGAGATATTATTTCGCCTATATGAGGCTGGTGTGAAGATTAGAACTGATGACTTCTGTAAGTCTGAGGTACAGAGCCTACCTCAGACAAGTGCTCAGGCCTCAGGCCCTCCCTTTCTTCTCAGGACACAGCTGCTCCCAGGCATGGGCTGGTATCTGGGTTGTTCATCTGATTTGAGTCACACAGAAGTGGGCAGGCATGGAGGGCTTGCCCAATTCCCCCAGTAGAAACCTGTTTGGGGCACAGACACCTGCTTCTGGTCTGTTCTGTGGAGTCCACGGCACCATCTTTCCCTAGCCCTGGAGGTCTGGGTGGAGGCCTCAGCTTCTTCCCAACCAGAGAACCAGGAGCATTGAGGAATATTTGAATCAGTGTTCCCTGGACTGTTCCTTCAGGCCTGAAGGTGGGAAAGATGGGAGCCTCAGGGTTCTATCCACCTTTTACAGATCACCTTACCACCCTGCCCCATGTGCAGAAGTACCTGAAGTCTGTACGCTACATTGAAGAGCTCCAGAAGTTTGTGGAAGATGACAACTACAAGTGAGTCTCCATCCACTCCTAACTCAGGCCTACCCATCCACAGTTGTCCTTGGCATTTATTGAGACCAATGAGCAACCTCCTGCAGGGCTCTAGTACCCCAGCACCCATAGCACCGCATGCAATGACACCTTCCACTCCTTAGGCCCTACAGTGGTGCTGTCCATGGGTCCATGCACCCAACTCTGCCCCTGCCCCACAAATCTCACAGCCTCAGGCAGATATTATGTTCACTTCTCAGTGTGGCTTCCCACGTGGCCTGGGGATATGCATGTGTGCTCCACAGATGGGCATGGTGCAGACTTTGCTCTCTGGTTCTCACAGGTGGCTCTCTCACCCACAGTGCTGTGCTGGGTAGAAAGGCAGCTTTATAGCCATTTCTCCAGGCCAGAGAGCAGAGTTCTCCATGATCCCATTTCTCTGCAGAACTCTTCTGTCTGGTACTGGTCAAAGCCCCCAGCACCATCTCTATGCTACCCTTATGTGTAGACTCACTTCTCAGAAAGCCCTCAGCAGGCCCTTTGACTCATCTTCCATTCACCCTGCTCTTGTTTTCAGTTCTTTCTTCATTGGTAGCACCTGGGAATGTGTCCAGCATTTCTTTGTATATGGAGGGAGAAGGAGGATTTTTTCATGTCTGTCATATTGGTTGGACATCCTTTTGGCTCATTTTGAGCTTGATGTCAGCCAAGAGCCTCAGTACTTTTTCATATAAGCTGATAATAAGACAAGTCTCACTATCTTGTAATTGATCATTTGCCACATACATGCCAACTTTACAGATATGCTTTTACAACTTATTTGACTGCTTCCAATATATCATAATTTCTTTCAATCTTGCTGTCTAGTAATTTTTTTTTAATGCCTTCTAGTTTTGTGTCTACAAATTCGATTCTCCCGATTACTTGGTATTCATCTAAGTCAGTGAAAACTGCCGAGTACCTTACCATTAACATTGCTTGCAAGATCTTGGGATTGGCTTTTCAAACAGTAGCCACCTGGCCAGCTCTGCGGGAGTGGTGCACAGCCCTGGCTGTGAGTCAGCACCTCCCAGGACACTTTCGAACCATCCAGATGTCTGGGGTGCAGCTGGAGATTTGTCTTCTTCAGAGCTCCCTCCTTGGTTCTGATGATCTTTGGAAACATGGACATACTGTCTTAGTTGTTTTGTAAAATAATTTGTCATAAAAAAAGAATAATATGAAGTTGTGATATATTACATAATAGTAAGAAACACAGATGAAGGCTAATTATGTTTGTCACAAATTCAACTCATTTTATTAACAAAGCACTTGCTATTCCTGAAAAGAGCTGCCTGGAGTGCAAAATTATTCCCACTTAGGTTCTGGGGTAATATTTTGCATGTATGCCAGTCTTGCGATTAAAGAAACAGTAGTTTTTCATTAACACTAATATGCCTTAAGGAGAAAAATGGCCTATAAATACTTGTGACTATGAGACAATCCTTGGACAAGCTACAGGTTGTGAGTAATTACTCCTTCCATTCTGAAGGACTCGGAGCACCCCCAGGACTTGATGCTAACCTAGAGTCAGCCCAGGGTTTACAAAGGCCCTTTGTTGTGGCTAAAATGGGCAAACTCAGAAGAAGACTGCATTCCTACCCCTGCTCCTGACCATTGAGGGCTCCCTTCCTAGAGGAGTTCTGCTCTGAGGGGCAGAAGGTGAGTGGAGTATGTGAGGGGGAGCTGCATCCCCAGCCAGCTCTCACCTGGGGGTTGGCTTCTCACCCCAAGGATGCAGTGCTTAGTTAGGGCACTGATGACATGTTTCTAACACCCTGTCCCCACCTGCTTTGAGATACTGCACCAAGAGGCCTAAACCAGTGCTTTGTCTTTCTCAACCTTTAGACTGTTTTATTGATTCAAGAAAAATTATCCAGTTCCCACCACCAAGAAAGCGTGACCATTACCATTAAGTGGGTATAGTTTTGGACGTTTCTCTATGCCTGAAAAAATGATATGTACATAGAGAAGGATGGATTGATGAATGAGTACAGTATGGAATTTATTACAATTGGATCACACTATCCTTGCTATTTTTTTTTGAGGTGCTGGGGATCAAACGTAGGGGTTCGAGCATGCTAAGCAAGCACTCTACTACTGACCTACATCTCCAGCCCTACTCTTGCTATTTTTAATTAAATGTATTAATTTTATTTTTATTCAGACAGATAAAGGAACCGAAATAAAAGGAATTGCTGTTCTTTAAATAAATATTTCAGTGCTGTAAGAGATATTATTTCCTAAAAGAGCCTCCTAAGATTCATAAAAGCAGTCAGGAAAATGTGAAGAGGCCTGAGTCAGTAAGGTTCATTGTAACTAGGTTTCTACTGTGATGGTGTCAGTTGCCTTTGGTTATGAAAGATGACACTGTTAATAGTGCCCCTCCACCTCCACTTCACCATCTAGCTTTCTGTTAGTTATGCTGTTTTTGGGTCACATAGTCTAAGTTTAAAACATGAACATCATGTTAGAAATAACTCCTACTGTTTCATATTTTTCTAACAGAGTCAGTTCTTACTACCTGTTGTGCCTCTGCAGTGTCTCTGTTCCTGGAGGCTTTATTTTAAAATTGATCCCTTATTTAGCTGGATTTCATCAGGAATCAGGCCTGAAGACCTTGCACTGTGGCCTCCTGGTATTGAGTGCTGCTGTACAGAAAGTCTCATTGCAGTCTGATATTAACCCCCTCTAGAAAGTGGCTTATGGGTGAAGTGCCTTGGCAAGTGAGGAACTTGGTGAGGTTCGAACACTCGGCAGGGGAAGGCCTCAGAGTGAAGGGTCATGGGCCATGCTTTGCTCTTGCTTCACAGTGGACAAGCTCTGCTGGTTTTATCTTGGACTGTTTCCATGCCAGTTCTTGGTTTCTGTCTCCCAGATGTCACATGTTGGACGCTCTCTGCTCTGCTTGTGTGTCAACTGCTTTCTAACAGCTGTCATCTTCTTGGTCTTCAGCAGTCTCTAGTGACCTGTTTCCACTTAGGTATTCATCCAGCCCTATATGATTTCAGTCTTTGATTTGGTCCCCTTGGTCCTCCGTCTCCCATTTTGTCTTATTCCTTTGTTTTGCCATCTCCCTTTTCGGGTGTTTTATTCAGCTTATGTTCTTAATTAGTCATTCTTCCATTCAATGTGCTTGAGGGGATCTCTTCTGCTCCTGGAGCTGCCTCCTCTGTCCCACCGAGGGCGTGCTGTCTTTCTTTCTCATTCCTTCTTTGGTGAGACAAGGTCTGTTGCTGGACCATTGCTTTTCATCTTACTACCAATTTGGAGGCCCTGTCTAGCAGTCCTGTGGCTCTGCTACAGAGAAGGAAGTGTCTGGCCTTCTTCCCGTATGTGGAGAGGTTCCCTCCTGCTGGTTAGTAGGTCCAGGGACTCCCGGATTTCCCCTCCCTGTAGCTTGGGGGAGTAGAAGGCCCTGGCTCCAGGGAGGGGTAGGCAAGCAGTCAGCTTCATTTAAGCATGTGGGCTCATGTTTCCTTTGTTGCTATAGTGCCCCATGGAGCCTTCATTTCCATCAGCATGTCTCTGTCTGCCACTTGCTAGCCCCATGATGTGGGGAAGGAAGCTGCTTAACCTCACCCCTCCTCAGTTTCTTTAGCTATGAAATGTACCTAGTTCACAGGGCTGTTATGAGAATTAACACATCACGCTCAGTAAACAGTGGGCCTCAGTCACTTGTTTACTTTGTCTTCCTTTACCTTTGCTTCTTGGTCATGGAAACCCCCTGGAGACAGTGGAGAGAGGGGCTATGATCAAGAACAGATCTCAGTGTTCTGTGCCTATGGTAGTCTTAATAGCATTCTCATCTCCCAACCTCAAACACACAAACACATGCCTTTCTGTACCCATGATAAGCCCTCTGACCTTGTGAAAACCTTTGTTTCAGACTGTCACTCAGAATTGAACCAGGAAGCAGCTCTCCAAGACTGGTCTCCTCCAAAGAAGATCTTGCAGGTATTGTAGTCACTCCAGTGGGAGCAAAACCACTGATAGCCCAAACTTGGCTGCCAGGTTGGCTGTGGAGCCAAAGTGCACTGTTGAGTTTGCAGCCTGGTAGACTCACATTCTCTGCTTCCAGCCCCCTGAGCCCACCTGCTAGGCTCCTGATCACATGGGACCTCTGAGATGGGCTCTCTAGAGGAGCCTGCACTGCACAGCCCTAAGGTTGGAGTCCCAAGTTAAGAGCATGCACGCAGTAGAGAAAAGCCCAGGATCTTTCCAGGCTGTCTGGACCCTTGTTACCAGGCTGCACCCAGGCTTGAGGTTATGTTTCCAGATGGGTGCACAGGACTCCTGGGGTTATGGTGCCACCAGACACAAGTGACTCATCTTCCTAGAGCATCATATTTATTCCCCAGTAGGGGAAATACACACACATTCTCCCCACGCACATGAAGGCCCAGGCTCTGCAATCAAGCCAAGCCTGAGCTCTGCTGTTTCCTGGCTTTGTTGCTTTACCTCTTTTTTTTTTTTTTTTTTTGGTGGTGTAGTCCACAGATGGAGTTAAAGACTGGTATTGCCCTCAGAGGGTTGTCTTGGTGCCTGAGTAAGTGCAGGCCTGTGAAGTACTCTGTCCACACTGTCACGTTGTAAAAGAAAGTACACTTCATATTGGCTACTTTGCCATTATTATTCTAATAATGACCTTTCAGTAACCATTCAGAGTTGGTGTCCAGCCAACTCTCAGAGACTGAGACTGATCCCCACTGCTCTCCAGTGAGAGGCCAGGGAGGTACCTGGTTTGAACTCTGGGTCACAGTAGCCTAGAGTCGAAGCCACTGCAATCTTAGACAATGACTCCTTCCCTCTGGGCCTCAGTTCCCTTACCTATAAAATGGGAATAATGAAGTCATCATCTCAGGAATAGTGGAATGTCAAAATGAGGTGCTAGTTAGAAGGGTCCCAGCATAGTCTGCCTGACTGACAGTGAATCAGGCTAGCCAGCTGCTGCTCAGTGTTGCCCCAGCATTGGGTCTTCTCAAACCACCCTTTCCATACTCCCAGCCAGAATGGGTCTTGGTGGACTAGGACAGCAGTGTACCAGCCACAACCCTCTATCAGCCCCATCCTGCAAGGCCTCTTCCCACCTCTGGGGTTTGCTCCTGGCTGTTGTCTCTTCCCACCTCTGCTAGCTTCATTCTGTAAGCTATACCCTGCCCTGGGCTCCTCTGCTAACCTGGCAGAGCAAGATGTGCCTGCTCCTCAAAGCCTCCAGAGATGCTATTGTCCCCACTTCAGGACATGAGAGTCAAGTTAGTGCTGACTATAGCTTGATTTTCATGGGGCTTCCTGAGTTCAGTGTTAAAATGTCTTCTGCAGTCTCCTTCTGAAGCCACTGCATTTCCCTGCCAGATGACCCACTAGCAAGGTGGCTGAGGGAAAGCCCCTGGTGCTGCCTGGTCTCTAGCTTCCCATCTCGGTCCTGTCCTAGAACCCTCCCCCAGACAACTTGATGCTCTGAGGTGCTCTGTTCTGCACGCTGTGCCTATAAAGCAGACACCACATGCACGTCCCTCACAGGTATGCAGTGGGAACTTATTGAGGTCACATGTGCAGAGCAGCACAGAGCATGGTCATCTAGGGCAACTTTGTCACCACAATGCTGTGCTTGTCAATATTATGCTTCTGACTCTGTCACTGAATCATTCAGGTTTTAGCTAAACATCACTGCCTCAGAGAAGTCTTTCCCTACCTTCACCCTAGTCCTGGACTAATCAGGCCCTGGTTCACAGGGGCTAGTGAGCTTTGGGCCAAATCCAGCCTAACTTGTTTCTATATAGGAGGAAATACAGTCCCACTGACTACTGACATTTTGTCTCTGCTTTTACACTGCAGTGGCAGAGTTGAGTGGCTGGGACAAAGGCCCTATGGCCTGCAAAGCCAAAAGTACTTCCTGCCTGGCCTCTACCAGAAATTTTCTGACCCCTGTGTCACACCACTCTGTGGCTAGTGCTGTACTCCTTGAGCATGGTCCATCCCTCCAGCCAGCCATGTCTGTCTTCCTCACCAGAGTAAAATCCCCCTGAGGGATGGGCCCAGTGTGGAATTCCTATAGCCCAGGATACAAGGCCCTGGGTCAATGCCCATGGTTAGTTGCTCAGCCCCAGCCCTGAGCGCCTTGCTGGACCCTGTGGGCACCTGTGCTCAGAGGCAGCATCAGCGAGGACTGACTGCTGACTCCACACAGTCTTCTGAAGAAGTGCTGAGGCCAGCAGTTTCTGCATGTGGAGCAAGCCCCAGTACACAGGGGTGTTTTCTAAATCCCTGGCTTCAACCCCAGAAGCAGGATGTTAGAGTTTGCATTGATTACCAGAGGGCCAGGGAGTGTTGGGGAGGCTTGCACGCACTAGCGGCCCCAATTCCTACCTTGCAGTATCAGAGCCAGACAGGCGGGTGCTGCTGTGACCTGGGGTGGCCATGGGGTCCCAAGAGGGCCAGGCCACAGGGACAGCTCCAAGGAAGCCTTCCTGAGTCTGGCAGATAAACTGAGCCACGTGGCATGAACAGACTCAGGGACAGGAATGTGCCTCTTGCAGTCCCAGGAATGGGAAGAACGCAGCCTCCCTCAGCTCCTCAGGAGAGGGGTGTAGACTCCAGCTTAGGGCACTTCCCAGCAGTTAGACACCCCCACACCTGCCAAAGAAAGGCACTGATAGGTGCTCCTCCATTCACGCAAGGCTTACATGCTACGGGGCCAAGCATTTGCTGTGAGCCAGGTGCCTGGCAAGAGCTAGGCAGACCCTGTTCTCTGGGAGCCCATGCATTAGCTTGGAAGACTGGCAGCAGAGGCCAGCAGGGCAAGGATGGGCATGTTTGGAGCCAAAAAGAGGCCAGTGTGAGTAGACCAAGATGGCCTGGCATGGGTGGGTCCCGCTCCCCTACCTTGAAAACTTCAGCTGTAGCCTCAACTGTCTCCAAGTTCTAATTAGTACCAGAAGTGGTTTCTGAGCCTCAGTTGTGCCCATCGTGTCTGGGGTAGCCCCTGTACCCCACTTTCCATCCCTGGGGGATGGCCATGTGGGGACGTCTGTCCCCTACAAGTAGACTGTGAGAAAGGAAATAGAGAAACCTTCTCAGTTTCTGGGTCTGTGAAAAGAGGCCAGGAATGCCACGTTTTCAATTTCCCCCTGCATGTAATGTGTAGTTTATATAAATGAACTAATATTTTCCTGGAGAGAAAAAAATCCTGTGAAACATCGACCCCCAGAGAAGGCAAGTATGCCTCTCCAAGGGTGTGTGCCTTGGAACTAGTGAAGACCTTTTCAGATTTTGCTAGCCCCACCTCCATGTGATTCCCCCAGTGGACAGGTTTCCTCCGAAGATTCCTGGGCAGCATTGGAGTCCAGGAGAATCTTGACCTCAGCCTCTGCTCCCTGCACTCTCACCTTCAGGACTGCACTGTGACATACCTTTCTGGCTCCTTGTTTAATTGTATGGTGGCAAAAATCCTGCTCTGGGGCCAGGCAAACCTAAGTTCAAAACTCAATTGTAGCACCTCTGAGCTGCAGGTGTCCAGGCAGTTCATTTGATTCCTCTGAGCCTCAGTTTTCCTGGGAACAGGAATGCTTCACACAGACTCACCCCACAGGGCTGCAGGGGAAGTTCCCCGGGGCAGTGCTGGGAACCCCCCTGTCCATTGCCTGCACGTGCTGCCTCTCCAGAGTGCCCTCTCACACACATTTTTGATGGCATTAGATGGGGTGTGGTATGAGGCAGCCACCCAAGCAGCAGACAGGGAGCCCAAGGACCCACGCTTAGCTCCAGCACAGGTGCTCACTAGCCATGCCAGGTAAGGCTGCCTCGTTACCTGCTGACCTAGAATCTGGGCACAAAACACTACTTGTGGGTCAGAAGGTCCAACAGAGCTCCACGTGGAGTCACGTGGAGGTGTCTTTACTCACATGCCTGCTACTTGCTGTTAGCCTGAGCTGGATCTGCAGTGGTGGCAGGACACATAACTATGGTCTTTCCATGTGGCCTGGGCTTCCTCACAAGATGGCAGCCTCAGGGTTGCTAGACTCTTCATGGCAGCTGACAGTCCCCAGAGTGAATGCCCTGGGAGGCAGGGAGGAAGCTGCATCAAGGCATCCCCATGAGCCAGCCTCCAAAGTTACATGGCCTCACCTTGGCCTCCCTCTATAGGTCAAAGCAGCCATAAAGGCCAGCTCAGGTCCTGAGAGAGGGGACAAAGACCCAGCCACTCAGTGGAGTAGTTGAGGACTTTTTGGACCACCCCAGCCAATTCACCTGAGGGAAATAGGCTCAGAGTTGCATCATTGTCCTCACTGTGTGCTGACCTGTGTTAAGCATAGATTCTGCCAAGCGTCTGCTAAGAACTGTCCTTGTATTCACTCCGTGTCCCAACACCTGCCTGTGAAGCGGGCCCATGCCACCCCATTCTGAAGAGGAAGAGGCCAGGACACTTGCCCAGCCTCACACATCAAGGAAGTGGCAGCACTGACGGCTGAGCTACATCACCTGCATCTGACGTGTAGAGGCTCCAGAGCACTGTGGGCTGTGTCTGCTGCCCCCTGCACCTGTGCAGAGTCACACACTGTCCACATTGGTTCTAGATGCTAGTTCTGTGTAAGAATCAGACTCCAAAACCTGATCTGGCATTAAGTCCTCTCGCCTCAACCCTGCTGGGGTCCTTCAGCCTGGCCTTCTCCTCCGCGTATTCCAACTTGCTAACCTCAGCCTGGTTGGGATGCAGTCAGCTGTGGGTGCTGCTGTCGTGGGGCATAGCGCCTTCCAAGTGACAATAGATAATGATACGCTACCCCACCTGGGCTTTCTCATAGGTATCGCAGAGATTCCACAATTCCTAAACCCAGACAGATGTAGATCCATTCCAGGACCCCTGGAGCTCCTTCCGTTGCTCCTTAGGGCTGACCGCCCACCAGCAACCTCTTGATTGGATCCCCTCAAGTCCTCAATGCCATGCCAGCTCTACTCACTGGGACCATCTTAGTCCACAGGAGGCCATACCCACTTTGTCCTGATAGACCTGTGAGTACAGCTCACCCTTCTATGGCCACTGCTGTCTTCTGGCTTCAGCCATCTTGGCATCCTGAGGCCTGACTGATGCACTAAGAGTCAGAAGACATTGCAAACCCATAAGTGGCCTGTGGAGACCCCCTTGCTCTGCTAACGAAAGAAGAGAGCAGCCCTTGGGCAAGAGGTAGGGATTACTTCAGTCCAACTCCACTGCCCTGAGGTGGCCCAGCCCCTCCCAAGCGCCAGCCACTCCCTGGCATCCTCTGCCCCCACTCTCTGTGGCCTGGGAGTCTGCAGCTTCTCGCGCCAGAAGAGCACATAGCCTCCTCAGCCCAGCTGAAGGGTAATTGGGTGCCATTTTTCAGAAGGAAAGGAAACGGCTTTTTGCATGGTATGTGAGAAAGATCTTGACTCACAGTGAAGACCCGTGAGAACTGTGTGTGTTAGAAACAAGAGAATGCGTGTGAACGTAGCAATGACCAGCTCCCAGGCTCCACTGAGAAACCTGGCTAGAGAAGTTTCCACACAGACTTCTCTGGCAGACCCAGAAGGGCCCGGGACCCTACTCTGGGAATAGGGCTTTCAACAGTGGCAGGCAGGAAGCCGAAGACACCGAACCTGCAGTTGGATAGAGCCCACTGGTGCTGGCAGTTACTCCAGATGGTGCTGTTGTCACCTCCAGCCAGAAAATGGGCACCTAGGAGGAGGAGTCAGTGTGAGCCCCAGCTCCTCCTGGGACAGAGGTGGGACTGGAACCCAAGTCTTGTGACTCCAACTTGGGTACTTTCCCCTCTGCCACAGCTGCCTCCCATTAATTTCTGATGTGTGAGTCTTGGAAAGCACCCCTACAAGCCTGCTAAAAATCAGCCAGTACTGGCCCAAGGCATGGCTCTGTCAGAAGTCCGTGGGAATGGGGCTCCCTGGCCTACTTCATCAGGCTCCCCAGCTCACCACGTGAGATCCTTGGCAGCCCCAAGCACCACGCCTATCTACCCCATCCCCCCTATTGCACCATGAGGGTATAGCACCATGCCACATAGAGTTACTCCAGGTCCCCTCCCTGGTCAGCCTCCTGGACACCTCATCCATACCTTTCCATCCCAGTCTCTGGCTCTAGTCTCTGTCACGTCCAGTTGCTCTTCAACCAGAGGGAGCATCCTAGGGTGCAGATTTTAGTACAACACCTTTGCCATGCAACTCTAGGTCCTCAGGGGCCTTGCTCCCAGTCACCTCTGAGCTTTTACATATCCTATTCCTTCTGCCTCGTTACTGCTCATGCTGGAGCTCTTGCATCAACCAAGATGTCAGAACTTCCAGAAGCTTTCCCAATCTTTCCCCAGGTTCCCAAATGCTCTGTGCTCAGAGCTTTCCTGCTCACCAGCTGCTCACCTGGGCAAGTTCATAAAACCTCCGGACCTCAGGTTCCACTTTGTAAACTTAAAGTAATAACACTGCATGGCAGTGTTAATGTGAGGCTTAAAAAGGTCGTGTGCACAAAGCCTTTATTGTAGGTTCTAGTGCCATGTAGACGCTCAGTAAACGTCAGTGGTTATCATGATCACCAACATTATTGGTGTTGTTACACTATCTGTATGGTTGGCAATCTTGCCATATTGGCCATGATTCTTCTCCTGGCAAAGTGTGTGTGTCTCCTGAGTGCAGTTACCTGAACTCACTCTCCCCCTTGACCATCGACCCATTTGTGTAATCCATGTTGCAGCTCCAATGCCTGGACCAAGGGCAGCCCCAAAGTCAGGGCTCAGTAAACATTTGTGGCAAGAGAGAAACACTTGTGTGTTCGACTCCTCAGAGGGAAGTGACAAGGACAGGATCTCCTTCCTGTTTTACAGATGTAGACTCAGGGCTCAGGGGGTGAGGTGACTTGCCTGAGGTTGCTCAGCCTGCTGCTGCAGACTCAGGCGGGAGCCCAGGCCAGTGTAACTCCAGATCCTGTGTTCCTTGCCATCACTGTTCATTGTCCTGAGCCCCCGCCACTCAAAGGCCATGATCAGAGGGCCTGGTGATTTTTTTCTCTCCAATCAATGAGTGGTCTGTTGGGCAGTATGTTGGTTTCTTGTAATGAAAACCAGATTTTTTTTTTTCTTACATAGTATCTCGTTCCCCACAGAGACTGTCAATTCTCATATGTTCCAATAAAACTGCTAAAGAAACAGCCACTTAAAGAGCTTTAAAGATTATTCATGGAAAAATTATGCTGAGGAAAAATAGAGCAATCCTCTGAGATAGTCAAGCCACATGGTCAGTTTTTCCAGTTGTTCATGCCATATCAGGCGGGCAGTGGGGCCTGCACTCTGCTCAGAAGGCCAGAGCCCCAGCTCATTATTTGCCACTCCCACCCTGCCCGAGGACATGACAAACTTGCCAGCCACTCAACTCAAAAATGACACGTGTTCCTGGCACTGTCACGTGGGGGCCACCCCAGGCTTGGTGGGGCAGGAATGTGAGGCCCTTTCAGTAGCAGAGGGTGTCACTTACTGGCAGAGGGCCCCCATGTGGGTCCCAGCTGAATGGAAATTCTTCTGTTTCTGCGTCAGACCCAGGCTGTTGGTCAACAATGCAAGGGGGTGTGGTCAAGACCTAGGGCAGGAAAAGCAGCATTAGTGTTCAGGCCTGGGTTCTGCTGGGGCCACCCTCCCCCCAGCTGACCCTGAAGCTGGTCAAGGGGCATCTGAGGCCAGACACGCCTCCCAAGGCTCCAAAGCAGGAAGGAGAAGGGGGCGCATCCAGGCTGACTTCTGTGGGGAAGCCGCCAGAGCAAGTCTGCAGTTTGGGAGAACTCAGCAGAAAGCAGAGCCAGGAGGCAAGAGCCTCATGGAGCCAGGCAAGAATGAGTGCCTCCTTACAGCCCCTTCAGCCATGTGGCTCTGGTGTGTCTCCGAGCCTCTCTCTAAAGTGGCCATAATAAAAGTACCACTCACACAGGAGTCAGTGAGCTAGGACTTGGAAGTGTTTGCACTGGCCTGCTTATAACCCATGATAATGGAGGCTAGTCCCCTTCCCTTGCTCAAAGGCAGAAGCGGGTCTCTCCCATTCCACATTTCCAACAGGAAGGGCCTCCTGTTTGCCAGGCCACCTCACATGAGGTCATTCTGTTCCCTTGTGTTCTATCCAGTGCTTGGCTCTGAACCACTGACATTCCTCCCCACCCTCATGAATGTGCTGTACACGTGGGTTTGGGTCCCACCTCCAGCACATAGTAGATCCATAAGCCCCACTTTCTCTTCTGTAAAAAAAAAATGGTGCTACTAAGAGTGCCCACCTCAAGGACTGCAACATTGGCTCAAAGCACAGTGCCCCGGGAGCAACGTTGAATCCTATCATCATCATCATCATTTCTGCCCACCACCAGGGCCTCTGGACTTCCACTTGAGACCCCATGGGAAGGAGTGCTGTAGTCTGGCCTTCAGAGAGCACTGTTCTGTACCAGGGTGGGAGCCTGAGTGACTCAGGCAGCAACACTGTAATCCTCTGACACGGCTGCTGATAAACAAGGCAGGTTCCACCCTCTGGATTCTGCTTAGCAATAGTGCAAAACCAAAACAAAGCAGGATGGTTTTCATTCTTCTTTTCCTCTCCAAAGCAGCTGGATGAGTTGCTTCTCCTGGGACAGAGTCTGCTTGTGTCCTGGCATGTAGAGCAGAGGGTCTCCCAGGGGTGCCTCAGGGTCCCCACAGAGCCTGTGCAGACCCCCTGCGGCCACAGTCACCTCCAGGGATGAGCCACCCTCTCCAGGTGGTGCTGATATATCACCGGGGAAGAATCAAAGCCTCAAAGAAGCCAGGTGGCTTCTTTGAGAGAAGAATGTACAAGAGAATGCATGCACAAAAAGCCTAGTGTCTCCACTTCCCACTTTGTACCAGCCAGGGACCCCTCTGAGCTCTGGAAGACCAGGCAGAACCTCTGCTTTAGGGTTTTGCCTCTCTGGTTCTGTTCTCCAGACATCACCAGGAAGCAGGAATCTGTGGTTGAGATGAGACATCAGCCAGTGGGCCTGGGCATAGCGGGCCATCCCCACAGCAGGTTGTCAACTTGGGCATCGGTGATATTGAGAGGAAGGGGGCAGTATCTAATCAGTAGGAAGTTGTGTGGCTATGTGAACCATAAACCTTGTCCTACCTGTGACAGCCTGGTAAGAGACTGTACCCTAAACCTAGGGTCCACCTCCCCTTAACCTTTACCCCCAGTCATCATTGACTGTTGTCATCACTCTCTCTCTCTGCTCTGTTCACAGGCCCCTCTGCAGGTTCCAGCTCAGCAAGGTTCCGCCGGAGGCCCACCTGTCCTGATGCATCTGTGGCCGGCAGCCTTTCAACCCCACCAGTCCCCAGACACAGGAAGAGCCACAGCCTGGGCAACAAGTAGGTGACTGAGCAGCCCTCCCCTGGGGCATCAGACTGGCCTGCAAGGATGTGGACTAAAGGAATGATGGGAAGTTCTCCCTGACAGGATCCCCTTTCCCACTCCATTCTGGGGCCTCTTAGTGTCCCCGGCAGATGTGCTCTTCTAAGATAGGCCTGGGCTCAAGAAGAGCAGAGGGGCCTCTGGCATCAGTCTTTATGGTATCAGCAGGGTCCTCAGGCTCAGTAGCTAGTGAAAAAAAGAATGATGTCCTGAATTCAAAACCCAGTACCGCCAAAAAAAAAAAAGAAAAGAAAAGACATGGGAAGGGCAGGGAGGAAATAGTGTGATTCCAGAAAACATACAAGCTTAGTTAGTAACTCGACTGGGGAGAACCCGAGTCCAGGGGATACCAGTGACTGTCATTAGGAAGTGTTGGGGGTCTTCTGACATCTGTCTGCAGAGAAGACCTACTGGATCACTCACCCTATGAGACCCACGGCAGAGGACATTTAGTCCTTGGCATGGCTGAGGGCAACCATGCTCACATCCCTTGGGCCTTGGTACAGGCTCCCAAATACAGGGGTCCATCCCTTCTTCTCCCCCCACCTTCCTTCCTACCTGCCTTCCTCCTCTGCTTTCCTTTCTTTCCTCCCTCCCTTCCACCTTCCTTCTATCCATGAGGCCTAAGCGCCTGCATCTCCTGGGCTGGCCCTGGAGGAGCTGGAAGAAGACAGAGTTGCTCTCTGAGTCCTCAGTGGTTCTTTCCCTTCTTAGATGCTCTGCCACATGCTCGTGTGGCACAGGCCTCTGGAAAAGCTGCTGTTATTATTCACACTGTAAGAATGAGTCTAATCATAAGAGATGTGCTTTGCAATGTTAACGAAGTGTTGGAGCCAGGATCTATTTACTGGTGCATGTGACTCCAGACCAGCCATTCTGGCCATGGCCTGCTGACCCTCACTTGTTCGGCCCCATCATTCACAAGCCTCATCTTCAGCCTGGGAGACAGGCAGGGCACACAACCTTAGTCCTCACTGGTGGATGGAGAAACTGTGGCTCCAGAAAAGGATGTGACTTGCTTACGGTCATGCCAAGAGAGAGGGCAGAGCCTGGGCTGCATCCTGGCTCTGGGTGGAGGCTTTTTTCCGGCAGCTGGCCCCTGGTTCCACCCCCCAGGGCAGGTTGGCTGCTGTTACTCTTCAGATTAGGAGCTTTGCTTTCTCTCTTCCTTTCCGTTTTCCAGTATGATGTGTCAGTTGAGTGTAGTTGAGAGTAAAAGTGCGACATTCCCGTCGGAGAAAGCCAGGCACCTTCTGGATGACAGTGTCCTAGAGTCCCGCAGCCCCCGCAGGGGCCTCACCCTCACCTCCTCCTCTGCTGTCACCAATGGACTCTCCCTAGGTAAGCGTCTCCAGCCTGCACACTGCAGGCAGGGGGCCGCAGGCCCGGCATGTGCTCCGTGTCTGTCTCTGTGTCACTGTGCCATGCCCAGTGGCCCCTCACCACTGTAGAGTGTCCCCAGCAGGAATCCCCTGGAGTATGGGAAGCCTCTACTTCCTAGCTTCCTGGGTTGCAAGGAGAGCTCGGTGTTGTCCTCATCCTGTCAGCGGCTCCAAGTATGGCAGGCAGGTGGGAGAGGCAGGTGACGGATATGAGCTTAAGTCTGGCTCAACTTCCAAAGTGGCGCTTCTGTCCCAGGGGAAGCCACAGCCCTGGACCCTGCAGGGCAAAGCAAATGCAGCTGCTTGGGGCAACCACTGGGTGTGTGCTTGTCTTTGCACTGAGAAGCCAGAGGAGGGAGAATGAGAAAGGGATCTTGAGGGACAAAATCGCATCCCTGAGCATCAGTGGAAGTGGTGCTTATGTCAATGGAAGGAGTAGAACTTGTGCTTCAGTAGTCTGTTTGTCTGTGTGTCTGTCTGCTTCCCTGAGTAGGGAGTTCTCTCAGGTCTGGAGGTGGGGCAGACAGTTGCCCAGCTGAGAATTTGACTTAGTAAGGACTGTGGGGCAGAGGGGCCAAGAGCTCGGGAGATACAGGCAATAGAAAAACCAGGAGGGAATCTTATGCCCCACGTCCCAGTGAAGTTAGGCCAGTCTCCATGGTCATGGGCAATATCAGTCCAGGAAGCAGTGGTCTCCCCTACCCCTAGAAGTGTGAGACAAGCGAGTCCCATGTCTGCCTTCTGTCCTTGGAGGAGGTGGTCCTGTTTGGACACAGGCAGGGGTGTAGGGCAGCTTGAGACAGTATACCCTGGATCATAGGTGTGCCTTGCAAAAAGAGTTCTGGGCTCCCTGTGCTGGAGAAAGGGTGGATAAACAAAGGTAAACAGGCTTATTTCCCAAGACTTTGCTGTGCACCATGACCTTCCAGCCCTCAGGATCTCACTACCTTCACCCAGGGACCTCTTTATTGGCATCTGTGAAGTTACCTGGGTCCTGAGGAGCATATTCTGGGAAGTGTGGGCTCAACAGTGTTCAGTTGGGCCCAGAACAGCTGTTGGACATCCAGGAAACTCTGAGCTATGCCTGATTCCAGGCTGCTGTTCCCAAGGCAGAAAGCAAGTCAGGTGCTGTGCTGTCCAGCATCCAGGCAGGATCACAAGGTTGTTTGCTTCTGGCTTCCCAAATCAGGGAACTCAAAACATTTTTCTGTTTGGGCTGAAAGCCCTGAGTAAGTGGCCATGTGTTCATATGCCAGTGGGAGCCAGGCTGGTTGATTTCCCACCTGCTTAGACTGGTCTAATGGACCTGAGCTCCTCCCTTACCCCTTGGCTTGGTGCTCAGGGAGCCTTTGTGGTCAGAGAGTATCATGGTGCGTAGATGCTTGAGTGGCAGGAGAAAAATCTCCTGAGAGAGGCCTGGGGGAGCCTCAAGGGAGCAGGGTGTTTCATCAGCTGCAGGCTCAGGCTTGGAGGAGCATAGGGACAGCAAAGGAGCCTGGCCAGGCCTTGTCAGTGTTTCAGTGGGCCAGGGGCCTGCAGGGACCCTCTTGGGACTTCTGTCCAATGCAAGCAGCTGCACTAAGACCAGTGTTTTGCCCAGCCCTGACCTTGGGAGCAGAAGTGCTCACTTGGCCTCCATCGTCATCAAATGAGGCCTGTTTCAGCTCTGATTGCTCTGGGCCAGCAAGGAGGCAGTGGTGGAGCCAGAACAAGTCCACATGGATCTGAGGACCCAGGTCCCACAAGCCAGAGGGCAAGCAGTGGGAAGGGGAACAGGGAGATTGTAAGGTTCTTTTGACCCTCCCAGAGCAGAGTCATGTCGTTGCCCACAAGATCAGGAAGCTGTGAGCTCAGGGATCTGGGCCTGCTGACCCAGAAGCACAAGAGAACAGGCCCCTGTATGTGAGGTCACCACACTCACTCACGTGTGTTCCTTTTCCAGGCAGTAGTGAGAGCTCAGAGTTTAGTGAAGAGATGTCTTCAGGGCTTGAAAGGTGAGTGTGGCCTCGGCACAGCCTCCCTCCCACTTGAGGTCTTAGGGTCCAGGGAGCTGGACATAGGCTCAGTGCAAGTCAGCCCTGCCCACCCACCCAACCATGGGCTTAGTGGAGCCACCCTGTGGCTCTTTGTCAGCTGGCAGGAGCAAGATGGTGTGGGGGGTCCCGGTCCCCTGTGCCGAAAGCATCCCCACAACCCCTCTGGTCTGGGAGTCAGCCCAGCTGCACAAGGGGACCTGGAGCAGACTGGGTCTGTAGAGTGGGTTCTGGACACTGGAAGCCTAAGCATCACTGTCTTGAGATGGGTACGTGGCTCCACCTGGTGGGCTTCAAGGGTGTTACACCCATACTGCTATAAATGGCCTTGGACCTTGGGCATTTATTGAACACCAGCCTGCTCGGCAGTGGTGACTAGGAAGTGGCCACCGTTGCTACTTCCTTACAGATCTCTCGGCCCATGGTTTGGCTCCCCGTGCAGAGCCTCTCTGCCCCAGGTATCCAGCCTCCTACTCAGGGATTCACCATCACATGTGTTCCACATACTGTTGCTTCCTGGGCCATCACCAAGACGCTGGAAAAACGTACCACAGGAAGTGAAGGGCACCTTGGAGACTTAATCTGGGGACAGACATGGAGAAATCCAGTGACAAAGAATGTCCCAGGGAGGCAAGTTTTCACTGACCTTTATTTAGGGTGAGTCCTCTACCAGTGTTCAGAGGCCTGTGTGCACAGCTACCCACATGCTCTCATATGTACATACATGCACACACATGCACACATGTGCACTCATAGCTACCCACACAGAGTATACCTGCACACACATGCACACTTGGTTATACACACATAACACATAGTTACACACTCACATAACACATGTACTGTCATTTATATACATGCACACCCTCACAGTGCTCACACTGTTACAGGTGCAACACATTACACATTCCCACTCATGTATGTGTGCACACATACAAATATACACATACTCCTCTGTTGCTGAAGCTTCTATCCCCTCATAATCCCCATAATCATAGTCCCCATAATCATAGTCCCCATAATCATAAAGTGACCAGAGAGGAGGTAGGAGTGGGAAGTGACCACTCCTCACAGGGCAGTGGGGCTGTCTGATGTCCACAGACTGGGAGAGCATTCCCTGTGTGCCAGGCGCTAAGTGGACACTGTGCACGGGCTCACTGGATCCTCAATCCCCTTCCACAGCATCCAGCAGATTGTCCCGCTTATACATTGGGAAAGTAGGGTTCAGAGAGGTCAGGAGACTTGCCAGCTTCACACTCATCTGATAGGGGCAGAGCTCACCCAAATCCATACCCTTCTCTCACCAAGTTTCCCCCATTCTTTGCCCCATGCTTTGGCCGGAAGGTTGGCGTTCACAGCTACAGGGACTGGCCTATGTCAGCCAGTCTGTCTGTCTGTGAAATCCAAGATGGGGCTGGAGAGGAAGTGAGGATGCCATGAGCCCTCAGAAGTTCTTTCCCTCCCCCTCCCCCCTGGGACTTCTTGAGGGATGTTTGATCTATTCCCATTTGGAAGGTCAGGCAAACCAGTCCAGCTACTCTCATTCTGGGGCCACCCAGCAGTGGAAAGAGAACTCTACAGGCCCTACTCCAGAACCCTCAGTCCCAGTTAGAGGGCTCCTGGGGACACCCTGAGGAAGAGGTTTACAGGCAAGCCAGCATCTCCCCTGACCACAGGCCAATGAGAGGACATCAGATGGGAAACTCAGACCAAGATCCCAAATAGCAACCACCCTGGCCCCGTCTGTTCATTCATTCATTCTTTTACTTACTCATTCCTTCATCCACTCATTTATCCATTGATCATTCAGTAGCTGCTGTTTATTAAGCACACTCCCTGACAGACGGTACACTCGCTGTGCGAGGGCAGTCTGCACTTCCTGTTGAGTACTATGATTGAGAGTGACATGGCTGAGGGTAAAGTCTATACAGTATCTTTTAAGTACTATGAGTGAGAGTGATGCTGTTAGAAAGGAGTGGGGCAAGGGGCATTCCTTGTTCCAGGGAGTCGATGCTGTATGCAATTCATGAACGCTGTAAATAGTGACAGGATTTTGTAGCTGTCCATCTAAATGTCTATAGCAGGTGCTTTGGGGGTGGGTCTCCTCCAAGCTGGGCCTCTTGGCTGGCTCATCCACATGGATGTCCAGTCCTGCCTCCAGCAGCCCTCAAACTGCCCTGCAGGGACGTTGTCCTATTCTCATTGTCTTGGCCACTCCCCTCCTGGCTGAGGGCAAGCAGACTCCAGGCCAGGGACTCCACACCCCACACAGCTCTACTGGTCTGAGGGCACATCTGAATCCCCATTAATGCCACTGCAAAGAGATAGCCAGGACAGTATCCACCATCTGGCAAAAGGGGGGAGGGTCATTTGACCCCATCTTCTGAGTTTATTTTGAATCTACATACATGGATATATCAGCCAAAGGTGTCAGCCAGAATCCAGGGACCCAGTGTGTCTCTGAAGTGACAGGCTTTAAGAATACCCACACTAGCACCCATGGAGCTGTGACTACTACAGAGGCCCTGGCCCCTGTTCTTTCTGCACTGCAGAGTGAGGGGGTAAGGAAGCATAGGGGGCCCTCCTCCGTCTCCTTGTCAGGCACATCAGCCTGACAAGGTCAAGGGCTGCAGGGGTGGGGGAAAGGAGCCAGCCAGGCCAGGGAGGTATTAGTTGGTTTCTCAGCTCCCACCTTTAAAGGCCTTTGCCTGTCCTCAGACCAGAAAGAGAATCAAGTGATGGTCCTCAGCCAGGG